AAACCCTAAACCCCTGAACCTCCAAGAAAAGCCCCCCAGGCTCCAATACCGAGGAGAAATTTTAAAACCTCAGGTTTCCTTGATGTATTTCACTCTACGGTTTAGGGTTTAGAGTTTAGGGTTTAGAGTTTAGAGTTTAGGGTTTAGGGTTTAGGGTTTAGAGTTTAGGGTTTAGGGTTTAGATTGCTAGTATTGTTACTGATATGAGTGCAACTTGAATTGTTAGTATCATCAATGACGGCAAGGTGCGAAGCTGGGTGTAGACTTGGCGAAAACGAAGCTCCTCGACGGACTTCGGTGTCGGCTTTGGGTTACGGGTTTTTCCCTAGGGAGCTTTGGGTTTGCTGTGCAGGGCTTAGTTTTCGGTGGAAACCCTAAACCCTAAACCCTAAAACCCTAAACCCTAAACCCTAAACCCTTGTGGCGGGTTTGAGGGTTTGTGCTGATGGATTCGCGGGTGTTGGGCGTGGCGGGTTAACGCTGGGAGCTTGGGTTGGGCTTGGTTTATATAAGCCTACCTTAAAAACCCAAACCCACTTTTTTATATGGGCTCTTACTATAAACCCTAATATGGGATTTATAGGGACCTACAAAAGAGTAGGTTTTGGGTTCTTAAGGTAACACTAAACTCACTAAACCTTAAACCCTTTATTGTGAGGTTTGGGTGTTTGCAGCATTGGGAATGAGGTTTAAGGGTCTAAGTACCCATATGGGGGTTTCCGAAAATAGGGGTACCTTATTTTGGGGTCCTTATAGTAAGGATCCTATTATTTAGGGTACTATATTAGGGTCCCCTATTTTTGGAAACTCCCATATAGTAGATATTTTGGGCCCCAAAGTACCTACCATAGAAGTACTTAGACCCTTTGGGCTCTGGAGTTGGGAAAGGCTTAAAGGTAACCCTGGGAGGGAAGGCAAAAGCCGTCACGCAGGCTGCTCCCAGATGTGCGTTTTTAGACCCGGACTCTGTAGCCTAAACGCTGAACTCAAACCCTTAAGCCTGAACTTCAGACCCTAATCCCTGAACTTCAAACCTAAACCAAAAACCCCAAGCCGAACAATTGCCCTAACCACTGCGGTCTTTGCGGTTCCGTGAACCCGTGGTGGACGCCCAAGCCTCGCACCCTCATATTATATGGGGGGCATTCATACTCATAGGAGACTTAGATAATGTGGGGGCCGAATTAAGCTTAGATAGCCATTGGGCCATTGGGAGAACTTTAAACATGTTTATGGTCTTGTATATTTGGTCAATGATTGAAAGGTTGATTTGTTTTGGGTACATTTATTAAAGAAGAGCGTGAGTCTAGGACACTTATGTAACATAGGGGCCTTCGTCTAGGGTTTAGGGTTTAGGGTTTAGGGCTTAGGGCCTGCTTACAACCAGGAACTCCAAGCAATGTGTTATGAATTTGTCAGGCTTCCAGATCTGAGGTTCCACTTGCTGTCTCTGTAGACTCAAGCTACAGCCCAAAACCGTGTTAACATCATCGAATCGAAGACCCTTCGAAACCTTGAACCCAACCGAACGTTGAACTCTCCGCCTAAGCCTCGCACCCTAAGCCTCTTACCTTGAGCCACATACAGCCAGATCCTTCTACCTCAAAGTACCTGAGCCGTAAACTTTCAATCTCAAGCCTTAGGCCCTAAACCCCAATCACTAAAAGCCTAAACCTCAACCCTCCCCCGGAGACTCCCAAGCTCCTTATCTAAGGAACATACGTAGAGTCATATGGCGGATCTGAAGAACTCTCCGGTACATGGCTCAAGTGGCTACAACCTTAGCCCTACACTAAAGCCTAAACCCTAAACCCTAAACCCTAAACCCTAAACTACACTAAACCCAAGGCTCTCAACCCCAAGCCGTAAGCTAACCCCCCTAAACCGTCAGCCCTACCTTAAGAACCCAAAACCTACCTTTTTTGTAGGGTCCCTATAAATCGGGCCCGCACTTTTTTTTTTTCCTAGCGTTGGCGGTCACCGGCGGCCCTTGGTAACGTTGGCGGTAATATAGTGTATACACCTTCTGTTGCTATACTGTATGCCGTTAGAAAACATATGTAGTGCAGCATACTACAACACGTGGCATATT